TCCGATTATTCGAAACTCTATCGGCAAATGGCTCATTCGGATTCGGAAGTTGTCCAAATTGTCGTCTACCGCACGCCTCAGGAGTTAACGTACGTAAAAAATGTGCTACTCAGGTCAATATATTTTTCTATATTACGTTTAATGAGCAATCGTCGAAAACCCTTTTGGATTTCTTTACTCCATGAAGCATTTGAATGATACAGTATCCTTGGAACCAGATTTACCCGCCTGGGATACTTAGCTGTGCCACAGAAAAGGAGGCTACTGAGCCCTACACCACGACAAAGTGTACTCCATGGTAGGGCACCACTTAGGTAGTTTTAATTCATCACGAAATCTTCTAAACTATTTACGCTGAGGTTACGTCGTTATATTTGTCAGGACTGTGACGTCACAGACACCGCCATGAGACAAAACAGCGTTTTGGTGCTAGAATAAAAATCTACAACTTAAATTGCATAAATTTGCAGTAATAATTTGCTGAAATATCATATTTTAAAGTACTAGTAAAGGTACACGAACAGTTATAACTGGTTTTAAAAAATTTCTCATCTACCCTATTGTTGACTCAGCTTGTACAAAGTTCGCTTGTGCTTTCTTCACTAATAAGGAAAAATAAAAAACCACTTTTTGTTAAATTAGAATGGTAATTTCTTGTGTTGATAATGTACAACGATTAAACCGATCCGACTGTCACGACATAATGTCACGTTACACGTAGAGAAATTTCAGTTCATATTTCAGATCCAAATTTAGATCAGAAATTAGATCAGCATCCCGTAACTCTTAAGGAAATTATGTAAAGTAGAATCAGTCTAAGATTATCATCAAAGCTTCCTTCTCTCTTGGATAATTGATGTTGTATAATGTACCACAAACAGGACTTTGTGTTTATACAAGGCCTCGTGAGTAACGGGAACATCAGTCATCTAGGGTGTTAACAGGAAGGAATTGACGTATGGAATCCAAAGGTATAAATGGGAGATGCTGGTAGTGGTTTCCAATGTGCCCTCGTCGTTATCTGTACCGGTATTCCCAATACTTGGGGTAACAAAACGCTGAGAATTCTAAAAGGTAAAGGATTTTTGTAAATAAGCCATAGAACTGATGTTTTATGAAAAAAAACTCTATTTTTTGATATACTAAATATACTAAATATAATATATTTATACTATATAATATACTAAAAAAAAAAAGAAATTCTAAATATATGATTATTTACTATTTCTAAATGTATGAATATTTACAGGAAGCAACGTGACACTAAAGCATGCAAGCGTAAATGTCTACAAATCTTCTACGCCAGAGTCCGCCTCGCTCTCTGACTCGTCCTCACTTCCACTTTCCATACCTCCTGGGATGTACTGCACCACTCTCGGTGGGGATTGCCTCTCACCACAGCGTCAATCGCGCGACATCTTTCCGCGGCGCAGATGCAATCCTCCTGTGGATGCCAACTGCAGGCCTGTCCTGCTGCCTCTCCCTTCCAGGGTATTGCTGCCTGTACCCTTCGTACGATGATGTATGGATGTAACTCTCTCAGGAATTCGATCTTCTGATTCCCGACTACGACTACCTCTTTATTAGAGAAAAGTCTCGGCCATGTCTCCCGCAGTGCAAGGTAGGGCGTATACCCCTCCTGCCAACGTAACCCATGCATGGTGCTTCGTTATCCATGTATTACTCATATTTTCTCTAAAGGACAGCGTTCTCTTCGGATAAGGGGGTTGGAGCAGCCACTGTAATTCAAAGAAGAACCACAACACCAATGGAACTGTCGACCGTAAGACCCACTAGTATGAGAGCCAGTCCAACACTAGCCAGGAGACCTCTACCTAAGCTACCATACCAGTATCTGTTGAAACTCCATTACCTGAAACCGAAAACGAATATTTGCAACCCATTCTGCAGACACCAACCGATCTCCAAAGAGGAAGTTAGGCCACCAACGCCCTCAACGTCAACGGGAATAACAACTTACGAGCCACACCCAACTACAGGAAGTGTTCCGTTGGGATTATCTTCTACATATGTACGAATGGGCAAATTTATGGCAATTGGTAACACACGAATTCGTAAGTGAAGTGCGAACATATATGTGCGGGACATTACTTACACCAAAGAGTATGGTTACTCTTTGCTTACACACTTACCTAATTCGGCATAGGCCAAATTACTAATTGAACATTATTATTCACCACTTTAATGATAATAGACTGTAATGTTATACGAACTGTAAACCACTAAATTGTGAACGCAACGAAAAATTTTGGCTTGTGTTAGNATTGCCTCTCACCACAGCGTCAATCGCGCGACATCTTTCCGCGGCGCAGATGCAATCCTCCTGTGGATGCCAACTGCAGGCCTGTCCTGCTGCCTCTCCCTTCCAGGGTATTGCTGCCTGTACCCTTCGTACGATGATGTATGGATGTAACTCTCTCAGGAATTCGATCTTCTGATTCCCGACTACGACTACCTCTTTATTAGAGAAAAGTCTCGGCCATGTCTCCCGCAGTGCAAGGTAGGGCGTATACCCCTCCTGCCAACGTAACCCATGCATGGTGCTTCGTTATCCATGTATTACTCATATTTTCTCTAAAGGACAGCGTTCTCTTCGGATAAGGGGGTTGGAGCAGCCACTGTAATTCAAAGAAGAACCACAACACCAATGGAACTGTCGACCGTAAGACCCACTAGTATGAGAGCCAGTCCAACACTAGCCAGGAGACCTCTACCTAAGCTACCATACCAGTATCTGTTGAAACTCCATTACCTGAAACCGAAAACGAATATTTGCAACCCATTCTGCAGACACCAACCGATCTCCAAAGAGGAAGTTAGGCCACCAACGCCCTCAACGTCAACGGGAATAACAACTTACGAGCCACACCCAACTACAGGAAGTGTTCCGTTGGGATTATCTTCTACATATGTACGAATGGGCAAATTTATGGCAATTGGTAACACACGAATTCGTAAGTGAAGTGCGAACATATATGTGCGGGACATTACTTACACCAAAGAGTATGGTTACTCTTTGCTTACACACTTACCTAATTCGGCATAGGCCAAATTACTAATTGAACATTATTATTCACCACTTTAATGATAATAGACTGTAATGTTATACGAACTGTAAACCACTAAATTGTGAACGCAACGAAAAATTTTGGCTTGTGTTAGATAAGACTTGCGGTATGGTATGTCCGGGCCAATCTACCGAACATTGAATTTTTTTTATCTTATACTTACCTAGGTTGTAA